TCAAAACAGGTATCATAATTACTTCTAATTGCACCAGGCTCTGAAAATACATCCTAGGGGAAGATTGATTTTTTTTTTTTTAATTGGAAATACATTTCATTTACTTTCTGTCTTTAAATCACATATTAAATAAAGTCATGGTTCACTACTAGTATGATTTATTAATAATATTATATTAATATATTAATAATTAATTAAAAATGGCCCATTTCACATGATAGGTTCTAACTGGCTGAAACAGTGCAGCTTTAGGATTACTGACACAGCTATAATGCCATCTTGACTTCAGTTTAAGAATACGCTCTATATACCTCTACAGTTACTATAGGTCTACTAAATCATCATTCAAATAATACCCTCAGATGGTAAATGTAATGGTTTCTACATCAATGGTACTAACTTGGAAGCCTCAATCATAGGGTTTTTTTAGTATTAAAATATTCCTGTACTGAAATTTTAGGCATATATGACTGCAATATCACTGTTTACATCTTAGATTCCTTAAAGGTTATGGCCAATCCTACAATATGTTTTTTACTCCAAATTAAAACTCATTATTGCTTTCATGTTTACTAGAAGGAAAAAAAGAGGTTGAGAAATTAGGTTATTTTCTGTGAGCAGCAAATGGGGTCACTTCTGCAAATATTGAGCTTGGGCTTGTAGAAATTACAAGGAAGTTTGCCATATTAAGGGAAGGTAAGATCTTTCAGATATAGTCAAATGACTGCACAAATATGACTCCCCAGAAAGGCATTTATCCTAATTAATAATAGTCACCTACTTAACTGACAGCTGCAAATCAAAATGGGACTGGCCAGTTCTCTCATGGGCTCAAGCTATGACCACCCATGAGAACTTCCTTCTTTCATCTGCTTTACGAGAGGAAGGACTGACCGACAGCTGCAGCCGTTCCAGCCAACCATAGCATCCTCAATGCTCACTGCCAGAACTGGCTGCCACCCGCTGCCCAAGACGATCAGGCAGTAAGTAGGTCTATAAACCTATTAAACTAGCATAAATGTTATAACTTGTCATCTATTAAAATCAAAATAAACAGGAAAGGAGGTCTGAAAGCCAGTTTCTTCAGAGCAAAATGTAATGCTAACTATGAGGTTTTCAAATATCCCAGCTTTTTTCCTGGGAGTGGGCAAGATTTAGGGTTGAGTCATTAAAAAGCCAGTTGGTAGTATTAAACTCTTGCTTTAGGATTTATAAGAAGGCCAAAAATTCACTCCAGGCTGAAATTTACTATCCCAGGTCTGGAATCGTTTAAATAATAATAATTAAAAAAAAGGTAAAAAAACAGAGAAATAAAAAAAGTCATAAATATGGAAGAAAAACCAAACAAACACAAAACAGTGGTTTCAGAAGATTTTTGGCACTCCTTCAATGCAAAAATGGCTTTATTTTTTAATGAAGTCTGAGAGTCATTATTACGAATTACTTTTATAACTAAGACTGGGACCAGGTTATTTTAATAATTAATTATTACTAAGTTACTATCACAGAATCTTTTTTAAAGCTTTTCAGTATGAACAGATATCACAGTTTTCAAAGGAATGTCAATGCTCTGACTTACACTCCAAAGCCAGGAAGTTGGGGCAGGAAATGTCATCTGTGAGCCACACTGATGTATGAAAACATTTAAAAAATTAACAGCGTATGTTAAAGATGCAATGTCAGCCCCAGTTTTATCCATAACTAGACTTCATTAGTTTTGTGGGTTTAAAATTGACATTTAAATATAAAGGCAACATAAGTTTTTGCGACTTAATTGAGCACTCCTTAAATAAAGAGATATTTCAATGTTTGCAGACCATTAACATGTTTCCAAAATAAGCTGTGTGCTGGTGCTACTTAGCAATATTTCCCTATCACCCTAAGGAGCCTATATAGCTAACAGAAGCCATTTCTTTTGCTAAATTCTGCCTGAAAACTCTGAAGAGAGCATTTAAGCTTACTCCTGGGAGACAGCATTGTTAAAACAAAAACTGGAAGAAGCTTTTCAAGTGAACTTTCTGCAATCATGAGAGGACACAAGTCTTAAGAAGAGGAGAAAACCTGTTATAGGGGAGGGAAAAAAAAGCCAAATGTAAGCAGAGTGTACATGCCAGTCACCCCGAGGGAACAGAGGGGAGGGACAGAAAATGAACTACTGCACATTTCTACTACCCACCAAAACCACAAATGGGCCATTCTCGAGGACTAACACATACAGAGTCTGCAGATAAATACATGTCTGCCTCATTATCTGAGAAGAGCCTTAAAGAGCACACTTCTCTGCTGAATACTTCTGCTTCTACATGACTGATCTCATTTATACAGAAGAAGGTGCCATACATATGCATGCAACGTTTGCAGCATGTATGTGTGTCAGTTTGGAAGCTGCTCAGCTCTGTCTATGCATTTGGCCTATAGTCTTTTGGCAGGGATTTTTACTGCAAAACTTAACAAACATTCCCCATAGCCAAACCACCTTGAACAGTTTCTTACCAAATTTCACAAGCTAAGTGGTTCACGTCTGGTTAATATGTGGATGAGAGATCACTATATGAAATTATGCTTTGTTGAAAAATGGCAACAGTAGCTTGACAGCATCAGGAAATGGCAGGATTTAGCTGTAAGGATGTGCATAAAGATGAGCGGGATTCAGGTAACTGCTGGCTTCACCCAAGATAAGACTACCATACCTAGGAAAGCCAAGATGAGCAGCGTACCTAAAGGGAGGGCAGTATGTGGAAAATGGGACATAGAGGATGAGTGAGGCTTCTGCTTTCTACCTGAAGCAAGAATGGCAGACAGCCACGAAGGACACTCTGCTGAATGACATGCCTATGTATATGCCATCTCACCAGTTTGCAAGGCATGCTGCTTTCTGTCTGACATCTGAAGCAGCACCAACTTTGAGCTACACCTTGTGCAGTAACAGTAATCCCAGGCATGCTGCTGAAGTCTGGTATCCTAATACGGTATCAAACAATTGAGATGGAAGATAAAGAAACAGAAACTGCCATTCTGAATTTCTCATTAAGAGCTTGTCAAAATATAGGTCTAGAGGAGGATGAGGACAAGAATTATATTTGGATTATAAGAAATACTTAACATCCACCCAGATGATGCCCTTTCAGGCAACCTACGGAAAAATATTCTCTTTATTTTCTTAAGTTACCACAACATACATGTTTACCTGTATTCAAAGACGAGTTAACAAGAGTTTGCTCGGAGTACAAATCAAACAGGATCTCACAGAAGGAATACAGCAGTATTCTTCATTCTGACTGGATGCAGTGGAAGGTATGCCTGTAGGGCTTGGAAGTTGTGTAGGCACTGCGAGGCTGAAATGCAGGACAATTTACATACTCCAAATTGTTTCCCTGAAACAGATCTTGCCTAACTATCCTTGGTTTTATCACCTCGCTAGTTAATTGCCATACACACTTGCACTTGAGGGAAAAAGATTTTCATCAGCCACCAACAGACATGTGAGCTGCCTATTTAAAATTAGTCTGCTGGCTCTCCTGGGCTCCCTCTACAGGCACTGCACGAACAGAACGAGAAACTCAGCTACAGCATGATTCTGAGCACTTACCTCACCTATATAGGTTAGAACCACTGCGGAGACCAAAATCCTATGCTAAGCAAACACTGGGAAAAATTTTGTAGTTATCAGAAAAAACATCAATGCTTATTTTAGGCCCATAAAAGCTTTTAAGCTGACAGAAATTCTGGGTGGAGACTGCTGAAATGCAACTTAGTTGATAGTTACTTAAAAAAACACAAATCCTTCAATAAGGAATATATTATTTTTTTTTCTACCAGGCTATTACAAGCCCTAACTTTGCACCAGGGCTCCAATGGGGAATTCAGAACAGAGGCTGAAGAAAGTGGAAGGTGGTATTATTTATAACCTGGCAGGCAGGACTCTAGAAACTCAGACATGAGAAGCTGAGTCTCTTACCTAAAGGTAAAACAACATTGAGTAACTTAAAAGGTTTGAAAAATACATATAAAAAAAAAAAGTATTACAGTAGAGAGATGTTCCCTTTTTTCTTTAGCATCTGATGGAACATGCTTCAAATAGTATATTGCTAACCAGTGTTCCTGACAGTTGTGCAGTTATACTACCTGACCACATCATGAATTAGCCTCAGGAAGAGCTATGCAAAAGCAAAACAGAAGCAAGCAGAAAATCCTTGGCATCTGTAGGATGTCAAGAAAACAAATCAGACTGTTTCAAATAGGAGATAATTAAGAAAATCTATTAAAATTTTCTGAATTAGGAATTTATCATTGAGCTATTCTCAACATATCCAGGGACACAATGAACAACCAATTGATTTCAGAACTTCCAGAAAGAGTGTTATGAGGAACGCTACAACTTTTCCATTTAATCACTGATACTAGAACATTAAATTGCTTCTATAAAACACATGGCATAACCCTTTATCAAGACAGGGATGCTCGTGTTATTTCCTATGAAGAAGAGTATGTTGAGCCTACTTATTACAGAATAATGTATTATATACGTAGCTTTTTAGAAGGAAATAATTGGTATTTAATCTGAAGTGTATCAAAATTATCTGACAAGATCTCCACCTAAGGTAAACCAGACTGACTTGGGCCAACAATCTGGTTCAGCACAGCAAGCAATTTTCAGTTTCTCCAAGTAGTGTAAAAAACTTGTACCTTAAACAGGCACTGTATACCACATGTATAGCTCTCCTACTGATATATCAGGGGTCTTCTGAAACATTTGGTGTTTCTGGTGAAGTTAGGTTTTTTGTGTAATAATTTCAGTAAAGTTAGTGTCCTTCTCTGCTTTAGCAAAGAAAAAACACATTTTAGAGATTGCAAACCAAATGCAAATGAAAGAGCCCAAAGCTGTTCTGTTTTAATTTTAGGGGTTTTCTTCCCAGTGCCTCAGTATGTCTATTTTTCTCCAAATGCCATGTAGCAAAATTGCCATCTTATTTGGGATAAAACAAATGGTAGGTGCTTACCTGTAGGAGTACTACTGCGAAATGAAGAGGAGGGAGTAATTGGAGGGGTGACTGGAGGAGTAAGGCTTCCACTGCTGTGGCGAGGTGGAGTAGATACATTCCCACGGGACACTGTGCTTGACAAAGTCAAAGAGAGTTTCGGCTGAATCTTTTTCTTCAAAGACTCCTGCTCACGTCGAGCTGCATCGGTCATAAATCTAGAATAAGGACAATCATGAGGATGAGAGGTTTGAAACACTGTCCACAAGCAACTGGTAGGTGAAGTAATTTTCACCCTCAGTGACCAAATAGAGCTCCAAACTCAGCCACAACTAGTTCCTCTGGAACACACAGATTTCAAGAATACAGACTTCTTCATCAGTGGCTTTATTTCTGTGTTCAAGGTCTAGGTCATTTTCTTCAGATTTCAATAGAACTTACATTAGACACTTGTACCATGTGCAAACACAAAGATTTTTTCAAAACTGCAACCAGAGATCAGCATTGCAGACAATATAATAATACCTATACTCAACACTTTAAAATAACTACATTCAATCCTTCTGTGAAAAAGTAGCTGACAGAAAAATGCCAGGGGCAAACATATTGAATCTGAAGCCCAAAGGGATAGTACGAATTACACTGTGTAGATAATTTCCAACTTAGGACAATCATATTATTTTTCTACAGGTTTTAGACAATGTTGCTTCACGTAGAAGATGTCCAATTGAACTGCAACTCCTTAAGCCAGAATTCACAACTCTTGAAAACCAAATGAGATCTCTCTGCGGAGCTTTGGTATATGTTGCTAAGGGCCTAATGCAACTCAGGGTTCATCTCTGTGGGATACTGAGCAGTATTTTAATCCTTTGTCTTCCCCATCCACTGCATAAGGAGCTATTTTGAAGGATTCCTAAGAACACAGACTAAGGTAGACCACCTTGTCCATACAGTCCTCTGTCCTTCATGCTAAAGTACAAATGACACCTGTCAGCAAATAAACCAATATTTGCTAGCACGCAATACAGAATAAAAAGCTGTTACACCCAGACACCCGTCTGATCAGGTTAGTCAGAGTAAACCACGTTTTAGCCAATACACAATCTTTACATCATCAGCTCTTGCAACCTTAGCAAATCATGCATTCAGAGACATGAGGACGTGGTACAGCCAGTACGTTGCACTTGCCTTGGAGCCAGCTGTCACCTAGAAACTCACATTTCCAAAGCCATAAGGAAACAGAATGACAAAAATTGCCAGACATTATTTGTATTGGACTGAGGGTGATCTGGCTTTCTTTCAAGAGTCACATTCTTCTCAGAGGAGCCTATAAGAGAATGAGACGGACGTGGAGATAGAAGCAGCCACAGAAAACAAACCTGTGGAGGAACTAACGAAGATACTGAGTGGTTTTTTTGGGTGTAGGTGGCAAAAGTTTGGTAGCATTGACAAACAAGGAGCAGCAGAGAGAATCTGACACAACTGGACACCAACCCCTCCACCACTTGTTCCCTCACCGAAGGGACTGAGTGTGGTCTGCAGCAGTAGCAGGGGAGGAGTGACGTCTGGAGTGATGTGAGCCTGGGAAAGGGAGGGGAAAGCAGAAGGAAAGGTGACTTTCCCCCCCGCTCCCCCAAGTATTTTAGGGTTTTTCTTTTGTTTCTCAATAACCAATACTCAATTCAGTAATTATGTATTTATGATATTGGCAAAGTTAAACTTAATTAAGTTAAATCCCCCAGGCTGAGTCTGTTTTGCCTGACGTATTACTTCATGATTACCTTTATTTCAGCCCATGAGTTTTCTTGTTCCTGCTCCTCCTATTCCCCCCCCCCCACCTTCCCACTAGGGCTGAGGCTGTGGGGGTGACTGAGCAAGTGGCTATGTGGCTACTTAGCTGCTAGCCATGGATAACCCATCACTCTACCAAATTTCTTGCCATGCAACAACTGCATTTGCTGTGTGACCAATGTGACTTGATGTTTCTCATCATATGAGAAGACATGGAAGCAGCCCTCATGTATGCTCAGAATCCAACAGAGGACTGGAAGATCCACCTTGAGCTCCTGAGGAAGAGCAGCAGAACCTGACGAGAGGGAGGCAGAGGGAATAATGCCACACCAATCATCTGGTTCACACTTTATATCCTGATACTGTATGAAAGATAAGGTCACAGGCTGGCTGGGCAAACTAATTCTGCAGACCACAGTACCAAAACAACTGCTCTGAACATGGCCACCATGTCACATAGGGTCTTGCAACAACACATACCTGCCACAGCACCTGTAACATGGTGCTGTAGGATCATCCAGTTCTTCTCTCACCAACGGTTTAAATTGATATGAACCACTATATTCATTTAGACTCCACAGAAACTCAACACTTTGTGACTGCTAGCAACATATGGGCAGTTTGGATGGAAGCTGCCTTTGAGTCCAAACCTGACTGCACTTATGGATAGATCTGAGGAAAACCAGCTCTTGTGGAAGAGTAAGGGGTGCATAGGGAATGGGAAAGGAAAAAAAACCCAAACCAACCAAACAAAAAAACAAAAGGGAGATTTTAGAAATTTGGGCCAAATATGAAAGAAAAACCTGGCCTAGATATAAAAAAACAGCTCTTTTTCAAGGGATTTGTGTACTTAAACACAGCCTCAAAAGACTGTGGCAAAAAATGTAAAGTACCATCAGAGCAATAAAGACGTATCCTGCCTATCAATATCACAAAGGCATTAATAAGGGAACCTTTTGCCATGATATGTAACATCAGCACACAATCCCACAATCCGCAGACATTAATAAACAGGTATATGGCATGACAGCTTATCTTCGCTGAACAGAGCCAATACATCATGTCAAATCCAGACATGACATTTTTATGAAGTTAATATTTAAAAAGCAGATATCTATAGTAACAGTTCAGTTTTAAATTTCTCTAAACAAGGGTGCAGATATTACTAAAAAATGGGTCCCCAAAGTCTAAATTTCATTAAAGAAAAAAAGAAGTAAAAGGATCTCAGTAAAATGGGCATTCAGTACACATCTGCCTTTCTCTAACTAGGAAACATCTAATTCACTGTTTTTGGAATTTGTACCATGATGTATGCTTGCTTCTGGATGGGAAGCCTTATTCCTTAAGAAAATGTTATAGCAACATTATAAATCCTTGAAAACTTGGAAGATAACCTCAACTGTGAGATATTAAAAGCAGCAGTATGAACGCTGCTATTTAGTAAACTCAGCCACAAATAACAATGTTAAAATAATACTGAGGTATAACCACTCTGGCTGAAGTCCATAAAAATCAGGAAAATTTGAAGTTATAGCTGAAACTTCTCCCTGTCCTGTGAACTCACTCCCATTTGGGCTGAGCATGTTGGCTATATTCCAAAATGTCATTTGTTGTCTACACTGTGAACCTGAGAGAGATGGAAGGCAGAGTCCGTTGCGAAGTTCAGCACTTGGTATCTCAAATACAGAATTAACTTTTTCAGAGCCAAAAAGTCCCGTATATTTTTGCTGGAGCATTGGCAGGGCTAGTGTTTTGAAAAAGAAACTCATCTAAGTGGATAAAAATAAAACATTTTTCATTATTTTAATTGAAATGCAGTATTATACTTGTGCCTAACTATGGTGGTGCTCTTCAAAGCTCACAATACAAGCGTTTTAATGATGGGTATAGAATGACATCTGCAACAAAGGCTTTAATTTTCATGTTGAAAGTACATTATGGTTGCAACATCAAGTGCTCAGGAATGAACTATGCTGGAATTAACAGAGAATACTGGTCTCTAAATTACACAGTTGCACACAATTTTCTCTGCCTCATTTAAATCCACAAGATATGTGGAAAACAGAGTATGAACTATAACCAACAAAGGCTCCTGTAAGACCACTTTGGTTAAATCCCACCCTCCCTACTTATAGCGTCTCTTACCACCTTCAGATCCACCTCCTTGCTGAGAAATCTACCCCTGCTGTTTTCAGCTCTTTACTACATAACCCCATCCCTCCAGTTCCACCACAATGCAGATTTTACTCATCTTCCCTGCTGCATAGGATTGTGTTTTACACCTCATAAACCTCTCTCTCCAAATCCAGTGAAACAAGGAGAATCATTCAGTTCCCAGCCAGTCACTGACTCTGTTTTGAAAGGTATAGTGTTTGGGTGCTTTTTCGTAGATGGTTCATAACATCAGGGAGGAGCCCACTCCTTGGAAAGAAACCGCTTCTTCCCCCATTTTTCCTTTCCTTGCCCTTTCACCTTCCTAATAATTCAACTCCCTGCTGCAAAACACGTAGGTGCAATGATTTCTGAACCAAGTGCTTGCTGCAACTTTAATAAACACGACCAAAATACAGTATTTCCCCCTCCTCTCATTCCCTGGAATGGTTCAAGTATTTTTATTGAAACTTTCCCAAGAAATTCAGCCTGAAGGAGACACCCAGCATGGAAAATTTCAGCCCAAACAGCTGAATGTTGGCAACATAATAAGCAACTGAAACACTCTTATAATGGAAAGTGTTGCACAACCCTCTATATAGGTGGCAATATAATACAGCGTTAGCTGTTACTAACATAAAAAAATCACCAAAAAAGCACAGTTGTTGTTCAAATAAAAAAAAAAAGGCCTTTTACAAACCAAACCTTTGCAGTATTTGTAAGTCTTGTCACCCCCAAAAGCTTTGGGATCGAGAATGAACAGAAGCAGAGTACAATTTGACAGAAATCTCCTATTTGCTATTAGCATGCACTGATTGTTTCAGGATCATGCCTCAATGTGACTCACATAACGATGTCAGAGTTAAGTTTATCATAAAACTCTCACTCACACAATCCTAAAGACAGTTTAAGAGTTCTGGGCTAACACATCCAAATTGAGGGTGATGGCAGTTATAAAAGTGAGTTGCAAATAAACAAAGATTTTACTTGAGATCTCACTTGAGAGAAAACAGAACAAAACCAAAACAGGTTGCTACTTGGAATGCATCTTGCTAATAATGGCCTTCAGTGTATGAGGTGCCCTTTCCTCTTTCTCCTTGCTGTTACAAGCTTGCTGATGCAAGAAGTTAGCCCTGCTTGCACCAGATCTGTTTCTGTGTCCACAGGCATTCATACTGACAGTGAAGAAGGTGCATCGCAGCTATCCTGCTGGATCTCAGTATTAACCTGCTACATTTGCTTTCTTCATGATCTACTCTAAAACATAGACAACAGA